TCTCTGCCTCCTGAACAGATACTAGGACTATAGTCACTCTGTTGGTGCTAACATTTGAATGGGCATGACAAAAGTTCTGTAGGCACGTTTTCCTGATTACGTAAGAAAGCAGTAGTTTTATACTTCTTGGTGCTGATACAGGATGAGACTTCAATTCCGACAATTTTTCTCCATGTGGACCTTCAATTTTTAAATCAACCCCTTTCTATCGCGTTTCTGTTATTTCTTACTTTAGTGATGGGCAAAAAAAAAAAAAAAGGGGGGGGGAAATTACTTTGTACACATTTCCAGGAACGGTATTTATCATTTACAGAAGGGTGTTTTTGCAGTTCTGATTATGAATGTTTATTTTATTCACACATCAAGCAAACTATCTGCTTACAGCATACGGTCAGTAGGTATACTGTTTCATACATTCGGATGTCTGAAAGCTGTTAGGAAATGCATTTCTTAGTTTCTGATATGGGAACATTTCAATAGGAGAGGGTTTAATTTGTTTTGAAATTTCAACTCTTCTGCTCAAAAGCTAAAGTTGGAATCCATTAAGATGCATTTTAGTGCGTTTTCCATTCTCATCTTCCTTTTCTCAGTAACTGTGCAATTCACTTAGTACTTCATTACAACCAACAGCAATATGTATACATGGTGCACAAAATGAGCCATTTTGTTTTAAAACAGATTGCAGATGAAAGAAAACCATTCATTTCTTGCTTGGTAGCTGTAATTACTAGAGCGCTAATTACTCCAAATCACTGACATCCAGGGTCAATAAGGATGACAACAGGAACATCAAAGACAAGATGCACACACGCAATTACAAGTCTCTAAAACCAAGCTGTAATATTATTTTATGGCAACTGTTTTTTTTCAGTCAGTGCAGAAAAATATTCAAGTTTGCTGAATGTTTACTCTTATTTCGTTTGCAGTTTGACGGTGAGAACATGTATATGAGTATGACAGAGCCGAGCCAGGACTATGTGCCAGCCAGCCAGGTGGGTTAATTAATCTTCTCTGCCTTGTTTCAAATTGTAATTAAACAAATTCAAAGAGTTGCATTGCAAATGAGTGGCACTATCAGTAACTGCTGCAATCAAGAATAATCATAATTTATAAACAAAGCGTTTAAGCCTTGTTTCCAGTTAATGAGATAGAGCTGATAAAACACCAGAGTTGGCGTTTGTTGAAAGATACTACCTTGTTTCCTCTCCAGAATGCAAGCAGCTGTTTTGCCAGCATGATCTTTCCTAAACAGTTGTTTTACCTTCAGGAAATAAAGTCTTTACAGGTGCAGGTTATTTGTTTTTCTGACTGCAGACAAGTTAATCATTATAAGCTACACATGTCACAAATAGCTTTAATTATCACTCTTAGGCCAGTTGTAGTTGAAGAATTGCATTTTTAATGCTAATGGTATGGCTGAGGAACATTGCCAATGTTACAGCATTAGCAGCAGGGTTAGGGTAATGATTCAGTCTTCGGTAGCTGGCAGGCCAAAAGGCTTAATGTGATGTGGATTCTTTATAGGTATTTTTGAGTCCTTCCCTTTTTGGGGGAGCCTTATTCACTAAATTGTGACATTAGATGTGTATTTAAAAATATTTTCCCTTTCCACCAGAACCCTAAGTTACTGTAGATTTCTAAGACTGAAAGATTTTAATTACCGCTTAAAAAGCATACACGTTAAAAAAAAATGCTACTGAGATTTGTGCAGCTGCAGTTGTATATGGGGGAAGAATTTTAATTTATTTCACGTTTCAGTCAGTTCAATTCCATGTTAGTAAGTGATGGTGGTGCAGGTCAACTAGATTATCCTGTGTCATAGAAATTGCCATAAATGATCAGATTTGTGGTCTAGGTAGAGCAATATCTCAGCCCCAGTAGTGGCCAGTCTGGCATACCTCTTTCTGACAGGACCAATGGGATTATGTGAAGATCTCTCATTAGGTGGGAAATGAGTTTGCATGCATAATAATTGTATGCAGATGAGCTGGATGTAATTTAGGAATCAACAGCTTTGGAAACTGATAATACATTCAAAGCTCAATGTCCTCATGAAGTAGGGTTTTTAGATAGTCATAATTATCTACCTAATTATAATGTATAGTGAAAAACACAGGTTCATCTAGGAGCAGGGAAGTAGGAGTTTATTCTTTAAGGACTGTTTATGTAAAATGAAGTATATTGTTCAATCAGGAAGGCCATCTTTGAAATGTTCCACCATGTTGCCTCCCAGTCTTCCGCTGAAGTTGTTCTGAAATACCTTTAGAGACCAACTATACTTTGCATTTAGGATTTGTATGTAATTTAACATATTCAGCTAAGAACCCTCCAGTTCCAGAGGTAGTTTAGAATAGAACTGTTTGATTAAAAAATGAAAAATTATATTATTAATTTTTCTCTAACCATTAATCCAAAAACTGTACTGACAAGTTTTAGTATTACTATTAGATTAAAGCAGCCTAGTATCATCTCATTTATGCCTTAAGGGTTTTGAAGTGCAAGGGCTAATTGAATTTGTTTGAAACAGTAGAAATACAAACTCTGTGAATGATTGCTGTTATAAGGCAGCTGCTACCTTTCAGAGAATCATTATGTCTGTCTTAAATAGTTTTGAATAAAGAATTGCAAATCCGCATTATACATCAGAATTATTTTTCTTCTGTTGATATTTTTGTACTGTGTATGCATGTAGTTTAAATAATTTAACTGGCGTATTGAAAAATTAAGAGTATAAGTTTTAATCTTTTATGTGGTTTCCACATGTGCTAACAAAAGGCCCAGATCCTTGGAGATATTTACGCCTCTAACAGTCACTGATTTCAATGGATGTAAGGTGCTTAAAGTACCTTTAAAAGATCTGGGTCTATATATTTTAAGTGCAAATGATTTTGTCTTCAAGGAAAAAAATCTATCAAATGTGACATTTCCAGACTCGAAGATGATAGAAAAGTCTGAACCGTTACTAAGAGCTGGAACTGGCAAAGGACTTACGTACTTACAAGCTGGTTATGGCAAAGCCTAGCTCTTCGGTCTGTGGCCCCTGGGGGGAATTCAAAACCGAGATGTAGGTGTCTAAACTCTCTCTCCAGTGCTGGTGGATATTTATGGTAAAAGCCAGCTTAACGAACAGCCAAAGTAGTTTAGTTCATTACCAAACACAGAAGAGAGCGTTTCTCCACCAGGTGGGTAGGAGGTAGAGCCACGGGTCATACAGCCTGCGGTGCCAGTTTGAGTGAAGCCAGCAGCATTGGACTGCTGCGCTCTCCTTGCCATTACTATCATCTCTCCTGGTGCTGGAGAAGCCTTAAAGCATTGCAGCGGTTTGTTAAGTCAATATGCATGAAAGTCCGTAACCCCTTAAACAGGGAGACCAAAAAAAAAAAAAAAGAAAGAAAAAAAACACACTATCCTAGTGTGGACCTGCCAGTCAAAGGAAAACAGGAGAAAGACTGTGCTGGAAATCCTGCCTCTCTCTTGTTTAGATAACTGCCACTAGAGGATTTCTGATCTAGGTGGCTGTAATTCCTTGAAAGAAGTAAGCAGGTCTCCACTGACAGACAATGCTGATTAGGTCTTCACTGGCTGTAATGAGGGCGTAGTTCCTATCTCAGATATAAGCACAGTGGTCACCAAAAACTGGTGAGCTGACTACCATTTGAAGACTGCTTGTTCTCTTATTGAAGCTGGATCATTGTACAGGAATAATACAAGATTCACCGCCCTGAAAAGAGAGTGTGTAAGACTATGTAACTTACTGGGGAGGGAGAGGAAGAGGAAAGGGTGCCATATACTCTGGGTCCCTGTTCTCAGGACTGTTTGTTCATTTTCCACTCATTTTTACTGACTGTAAAACAAATAATTCCAGAAGAGGGAATGAGAAAATGTTTTCTCCAAGACGAAAGCCTAGTCACTAATCCATAGTGTTTTTTCCTGCTTCCATTTTCCACCTGTCCTCACAAGCCGTGTTTTCTCACTGTGCAGTTGCCTGACTTCCACGAGAGGAGCGCAGGCTAATCCACTCCCACCTCCAACAACTTGGCTGTTCCCACGCGAGGTCTGAGATGTGGGTTTGAGTCCTGTCAGAATGAGCAGTGAATTCAGTTCTCCCATCTCCTGACTGGATGCACACCTGCTATCTAAAATGTGAATCCCACATGGCTGGAGATGCACAGTCCTATCAGAAGCCGTATGCGAGCTCTGGTCATGCTGACTGGGTCAGACCTGAGCATCATTTTCTGTTTTCATAGTCTGACCCAACTTAGTTGGGAGGTAGGTGGGCAGGCTGGGTCATAGCACAGAATGTCAGAGGCCCAGAGGTTTCCAGTAAGGTGTCTTCAGGATTATGTGCCTACAGAGCATGATTTTTTGGGGCTAATGCCTGCTGACATGCTCCTTCCTCTGGCCCTGAAAAGTTAGCTTTGCTTGTTTTGCCTTCTTCCTCTAACTTTTCCTTAGAGTCCAGCATCTCAAGACATGTAGGGACTATGAAATAATGATGTGTGGTGCAGAACCAAGTAAAAAATTTAGATATCAAAAATGTTTCAATTAGCCTCAAAGCTGAACTTTCCACTTCAGTTTCTTTTGTTTACGGAAAAGTGTTCATATTCAGAAAAACATCACCTTGTTTTATTTTTTAAGGTTTTTAATCAATTTATCCCCTTTAGGCTAACATAAGTAAAACTTCGGCCACTGAACATGAAAAATATAGTTTTGTTCCTTTTTCTGTATAACATCAAACATCTGCATAGCTTGGTAATCCAAGACAAGTTGCCTCACAGCATCCCTCAACAATTATCATTTCTGTTCAATTTTCAAATCAGTACATGCTTTGGGACTTATAGACTAAGTTGCTAAGTAGCAACATATGGCTCACTACTGTTCCTGTGATGTTGCTGCAAGCAAATAACATAATTCTGTACTTGAAATGATTTTTACAGAAAGCTAGTGCTGGAACTGAGCCAGAAGTGTAAGTATACAGTAAAAATTAATGATATTCTTTTAGACTGTCCCAAAAGGCTGTTTGGCAATGTTGTCTCTATGTACATTTTATATATACATGTAAGTACTGTATTTTTGGTTATGATATATGTAGTACAGTACTCGGCAGTGCAGGAACCTCCTAAATGAGTTATGCCAGCCATATTAACAAACATATGTAGTAAAACTACATGACATTTTCACTACTAATTGCACTTCAATCTGAAAATATTTATCATTTTAAAATAAAACTATGCCAACTGCTCTGCATTTCAAATTCTCACAAATATATTGTTTTCTTCCCACACCTATAATTGGAATCTTGGAGATGAATTGTTCTTCATGTAATTCCTCCTCCTGTAATTTGTGGGCCACATACAGCACTATATAAAATTATATTGTTTATTTTACATTTCTTCCTAGTCATAGTACAGAATGTAATTCAGGACTCTTGCACAGAGCCTTGGCACTTTCCTAGCCTTTCTTAGGCCTGGTAAATATTAAAGGTAACAAGTGCAGTTCCCAAATCCTCTGTGTGCTCCCAAGGGAAGGGAGGAGAACTGGGCTGGAGCAGATGATTTGGGGCAATACCTATATTGCCTCACTGGGAAGAGAAGAGATACCTGAGGCGAAGGGATGAATACTGGTTGCACAGAGAGGATGTTTTTCTCCCTTCCAGAGGTATGCTAGTGACAACTGTAGAAAATAAATATCCATCCCCCTTTAACACAGTGGGTGCCAGGGGTATCGAGACTGTTTGGTGCTGTTCAGCCCTAGAGTAAAGTGGGCTAGGATGACATACCCATTCAGCAGATAGATTTTTCATGTTATTGGTCCCTCTGCCTCTTGTAGCCATATACCCATGACCATCGATTTGTCCTTAACTTCTTATTTCATGTTTATACCCTAATTTCTTAGAGTAGAGCATTAGCAAGTCAGTTGTTAGTCACGTGAAATGGCAATGGATAAATGCTACCTATTAGATGCCCTTCCTTGCTATGTATAGGTCCCTTCC